TCACTGAATAGATCTACTAACTTATACATTATTATTGGCCAATCATGAATTATGACTTTGTGTATATTGTTATTGGAAAGGAACACTCAGATGACAATCACTCAGCTCATACTCCAGTATAATCAGAATCACTCATCATTGATTCACTATAGCTATATACCGGTATATTGTTTTCATCTGAAAAGCATGTTATCATAATAGTATTGTCAGAGGCAAAAATGAGACTAGATTTGTCTTCTTTCACTGTCTTACTCTTGTTGATCCTGTCAATAGATGGAGCTGGTAATAATGTGTGATGAATGTACTTCATTGTTTCTTCTAGTTCTAACAGTTGCTCCTGCCCCTGTTACTGTTCCTATTTATGAGACAGCAAGTTTTACTTGTGAAGGAACTGGCAATGAACTGAATTGGATTGTTGGGACTGCTCCACTGACAGAATCAGTTAAACTTCATCAAAGCTCTATAATGAGTTCATTAGATGCAATGTAAGCAATTCCTTGCCTGAGTTTAGATAAAGCCAACCACAAGCCTCACCAGAGTACTAACAAGTGCATACTAATTAGCAAGCACTTTTCAAGTAAAATACCCAAAGAAAAGGTTAGAAAGTGGACACACCAACATCCGGGCCCGGGCATCAGTTTAGTTCCAGCTCCGCCACTGGCAAGAAACCACTATAAATAGGGTAATCATTCATAATTAATAATAAGTTAAATTTTTATCTGTATGATCTCCATCACTAAAAAATGAGTGGAGTGTTAACCATAGATATTTATATGTTAACGTAGCATAGCAGATTTTAGTGTTATCATAGATATTAGAGTAAATGAAAAAAATTCATTTACTCTAATATCTATAGTATTATTGTTGTTATTATTGGCCTCGCCCAGCTTTGCGTAGGCAAAGGACTAGGTATTTATTTTATGTATAAAATAACATTATTGTATTAATTATTAATAGGTTTTAAACAATAGGTTAGGTTTTCACCGTCGCGCTATAATTTGTATGTCCACACCATAGATAATGGTCCACACTTACATTTCTTCTATGCACGTTGTATTGGAGAAATAACAAGCCTTAGCAACCACCTGCCCACGCTCCTTTACATAGTGAGTGTGACCATAGCACATATCTATGCCATGGCAAGCAAAATGGCGGATTGCTTACGGGACAAAGTTATGAGCTTTCTAACAGCAAAAGAACAGAGAGATACTGTCTAAAAACTTCTCTAGAAGCATTTGAAGGTAGAGAGAACCTCTACAAGTCTTACTAAGTGCACAGCTATGCAAGGTGGTGAAATCAATTATAGGAATATTTTTTACTTGTTACACTGTTTACGCATTCAATAAAAACGAGACTATCAGACTAATAAAAAATGTTAACACGTGATATATAATCACGTGATCACATCTATAAAACACGCAGTTAAAATTAATTTTATTACAATTATTAGAAATTTAGAATAACAGTCAGTTTTTTGATGAACAATGATGATGGATGAAGCCGCTGGACAAAATGATGAAGAATAGTGGACTTGTATTATCTAAGGACTAGTTGCTACATGAATGTCATGACTCGTACACGTCTTTTTATCTTCTACTGGCTATTATTGCTATCAATAGCCCAATCGGCTGGTAGGCAGATACGTACTAAAATTAAATTTATTGAGTGTCAGGCGGGGTCAGGCTGGCCGCGAGACTAGGTCAGGCCGGCCTGCTGAATTGAATGCCGATATAATATGATCTGTCAGATGACCTATCCTGTAAGGGCAGTACTTCAATGTTTTTTGTGTGTGGTACGCCCAAAAATACAAAAACCCAGGAAATAAAATGCCAAGAAAAGAAACTGCAACATACTATTCAAAACAATCTTAGAACATATTTAGTTTTGCTTTTTCTATAGTCATTACAGTACCTCCAGTATCAGTTACAGCTCCTATTTATACAACAGCAACATTTACTTGTCAAGGGACTGGTGATCTATTTGCATGGATTGTGCATGATAGCTCTCTTAATGAAACTGTCAAACAACAAAGAAACATAACAGTTACTAATATTGGTTCTCCTGGTAACTTATCATCAGTACTTACTATTGTTGGTTTACCTGATAATGATGGGATTGGGATTGTTTGTCAGATACTGTCATATTCACCTTTTGGTCAAGTATTCTCTGGTGCCACGCTAGCAATAAGAGGTTAGTTTATACATTACCGTATAGTGCTTTAATTTCAAGGAGCAAAAATTTCACTGTTTTCATGGGTTAGCATGCAACCTTGAAATTAAAGATGCGCTAAATATTCAATTTCTTATAATTTAAAGAATGTAAAACATATTGGGCTCCGCCCCTAGCCACGCAATCATCATAAAGATTAGATTACTTAACTTTAATAGTAGTTAGACGAATGGTTGGTTCGTACAGACACTTCATCACAGTGAGCTTCACCCAATTAATTAATTATTATAATTATTAGGAATATCACCAGTTGAAGACATACAATGGTCTAATGATAATCAGTTATTGTCATGGTCTCCTCCTTCTTTCTATTCTGATGATATTCAAAATGCTATTACTATGTATAATATACTAGTGAATGGCACTAGTTATATCAATACAACTAATACTAGAGTATTCTTGAATACTACTGAATTGAATGTATCTTGTACTAATTTTACTGCCAATATTACTGCATCTATTGTACAATATGCAGCAATAACAGGGGCATTTATTATCAATAATCCAAGTAAGTATTAATTAAGTTATCCACATTTAGTTTTGTTTGATTAGATTACAATATTTCTTTTACAAATGGAAGTCGTTCAGTGAATTACATGTATAACGAAACAAATGGTACTTTTAGTGTGAATGTCACCAGTCTGGTAAGTGTGATGCTCATAATTATACTGATTATAATAGTATTTATGATCAGATAAGTCGTTCGCAGTCTTGTAACTGTACAATAACTGGTTATGTTAAGCCTGATGAAGGAAATGCAGAGTTTCAAGAGACAACTGAGAACTTTACCATAGACAGAAAAGAAGAAACATTTTCGTATGATGTGACTGGATTAAAACCATGTCAAAGATATATGGCTGTTGTTCATGTACATCATTTTTCTATTGGTGCAAACTTTATTGCAGAAGAAGAAACCCTTAATTTTTGTGAGTTTGTTTTTGTATTGCTTATTAATATTTTTTCTTCTCACTTTTAGCTATATACAATGTAGGTGATCTACTAGTATCTGCTGAAGGAAATGGATCAGTTAGTGTACAATGTGTATATGAAGAATCATCAACTGCTGATGGATGTCATGTGATATTTACACACACTGTTAGCAGAAGGAATGAATCTCTTACCATAAATGGATCTGATAGCACAATGATTTCTTTATCAGCCAGTGGGGTTTATACTGTGTCAGTGTACAATGTCATTGATGGGTACATCACTCCATGGACTTGTGTACAACCTAAACAGGTTAACGTCACTATCGCTCCTACTTCTTTTCCCTCCATCAGTATGTAAATCAATAGAAATATATTAATTTATCATTTTTATTAACAGGTGGCACCACTGATTCTGTTAATTTTATTTATTCTACTACTACTACTACTGATATTCCTCTTCCTACTACACCCCAATCACTGTCTCCTTCTGGAACTGTTGGCAGCTCATCACCTGGTACAAATGGATGACAAACACACACACACTGTATAGATAGAGTCTAATTGAAACCATGAATTGCCCAACTAGGAGCAAACTATGAAACATTTTACACATGCAAATACCCCAACATACTAATTTTGTTTGTGTTATTTCAGGGAAAGTTGGTGATTCAATGCTTTATGTTATTTTTGGAGTGATTGGTGCTGGTTTATTGCTGATAGTAATAATGTTCATAGTGGTAACATTGATTGTGATGTGTAAGAGACAAGCTAAAAAGAAAAGGGTTATTTTGAACTCAGGTACAGCATATAGATGTTATTATGCCTATAAATATTTTATAATGTAGAAATTGCTGCCTGTCATCAACCACAAGCAGGGATAAGTCATTATCAAGAGATATCTATTGAACCAGTAGCTATTGATGTGTCAAATGATGAAAGGTCTTCAGGTCCAACAAGTGAACCAGTACAAGGTAATGGAGAGGATCCTTATCATGTTCCTGCTGATGAATTACTAACTATAAGGAATGTAAGTTACTACTGAATGATGCAATATACTTTATAATGGTCTCAATGCTGTGAACATCTTGTTCTATTGTCCATTTATAGGGACAATCTGTTCAACACAATAATTCTTGTGTCACTACTACATCTCCACAAAAGGTAATGCTATATTTGTAGTTGAAGCCATATATTACGTTGTTTACTGCCAAACGCTGCCGTCTACTAATTATGTCTAGCGTACGCTTGTTATTGAAATAGCAAGAATAATGTTTATTGTTATTTAATGATGTTATGATAACAATGTGACCTAAATGATAAGCAATCTTTGATTACAGGGGCTGAGGTACTATTATGTATAATAATAAGTATTATATTTTACTAATTGAAACGGGATTATGTAATATTATGTAACAGATGTGTGGTTGTATGTCAGCATTTTAAAATATGCAGTGCTGTCATTGTGTACTAATTTTCCTATCTCCATAATGAGATTCATGAGCTGTACTCCTCCACTATAAATTATGATATCACATTCTA